TCATTATGTAGACTTCCCAGGTGTGTAAAATCTGTTCTTTACTCTCTACACCAGACCTAAATAGTAAGTATCATTCTGTAGACTTTCCAGGTGTGTAAAATATGTCCTTTACTCTCTACACCAGACCTAAATAGTAAGTATCATTCTGTAGACTTCCCAGGTGTGTGAAATCTGTCCTTTAATCTCTACACCAGACCTAAATAGTAAGTATCATTATGTAGACTTCCCAGGTGTGTAAAATCTCTCCTTTACTCTCCTCACCAGACCTAAATAGTTTGTAGGTCTCTGCTCTGTTCTCGTTGGCCCTTTCCAACAGCGACACATCCAGGTTTGACTTTGTATTGAGCTCAGGTTTTTTTGCCAACTATTGAGTGATATCTGAGTCTGCACTTTGAAATTCAAGGAGAAAAGTTTTGAGGAAAATGATGGAATAATAGATTTATCTCCCTTGGTGATGAGGACTTTGGATTGAACACACCTCTATCCATGTGACACAAGCCAACAGAAATAGTGGATTTGTTTTAATCTGTTTGATTAACTAAATCAACAAGAACACAAACAACTGTAATAAAGACAACTCGTTTTCATTCAGTTTTACATTTTATTTCATTTTGAATGAAATAGATAACGGAGCATAGTGACCTAGGCTGCTATTTGTGGAGCAGGTAGGCAGCAAACTTCCCAGCAATATAAACCAACCTAAATTTGTCTCGGATAATTTGTTAAACATTAACAACACAGCCTTCATATAATGTTGGCAAATTTTGTTTTAAAAATCCAGGAATAAGAAATACAGAAAATAAACAAATTAGATCTGTATCACCCTGAATATCACCAAATATTAATTGTCATAAGAATGTCAAACTTATCTGTGATATATTGAAGATATTTTACTATATGTGGTAGTGCTGAACAAGAGAGAATAAAAATCTGTGAATATGCATATATCACTGCTTAAAAATACACTCTGGTGAAAAAATATTTCATAAAATTTTGAAAATTTAAAACAAATTCAGGCTGGTTTATAATGCTGATACAAAGATACTAGTAATCAATACATACTAGTACCAACAAACATACAGTACATCTACAGTTACATACATACATATATATGCCAATAGGAATTACCGTAAAGATGCTTGAATTTCGAAGGATTAATTATGCATAAAACATACAAGGTAACAGTTCAATGATAAATCATTCAATTGTGACAAAATGTTAAAAAAAAAGGGAAACAGCTGAAACTTTAGTAGACTACTGTATACCGATACAATTAAAACCATCTAAATTCAAGGGTATTTACGGTACAAAATGACTAGCTTTCATGGAATAATTATCAAACTCAACATTTCTCAAAGCAACAAATAACATATCAATACAATGGAATCATACCTTCTCCATATACATATATATACCACTGATGGTTAACTCATGTGGCCACACCAATACAACTAGAAACTTAACCATTACTTGGGAAAAAATATGGAAATTTTGTGTAAATTCTTTAATAATATAAGATTTTTACATGATGTCAGATTTAAGATGATCAGTTGTAACACTTAAACACTCAGATCTTCACAAAACCATGACCATGTGGCATTATTACCAAGTAGAGATGGGATTTTCGTTAACAGTTCATATTAAAAACCTTTTAAATCCTTTGTTTTAGCTGAAATAGTTCTTACCTGTATATTGTTTGTTTCATTTCAATTTTTACAATAATTTCATTATGGTTTGGATACAATGTACCATTTCCAAAATTTGAACAATTTAAGTCACTGGACTTATTCATATTTATATCATTTATTTATTGAAACTCATTTCTGTCCCCAGTACCAGAAGTGACACTAGGTAGTGAGTCGAGTGGAAGATATTGAATTAAAATACCATATTGCTAATGTAAAAAATCTAATAAAATTATCATGCTGTTTTATCAAACCTTTTGACAAACGATGGTATACTAATTGTTTACTTTTATTTCTAATCTTAAGTATCAATGATGCAATGATTTATTTTGGTAAAAGCAGAGAAATCTTCATGTTGTTTTTTTTTTTTAATCTTTTAGTACGTTTTAAATACAAACCAGATACCAAAATAGAGGAAAATCCCTGCCTACATAAAGCTCAAGTTTCTGTATTAACCAGACCTATAATTTTCCAGATTATCAAACCAAAAGGTCTGTGCGAGATGAAAACTTTTTTCTACACAAAATTACCTAGTCATCAGACTCATTTGACCATCATATAATACACTTCAGACCAATCAATATCACAAAAACATCTAAAGCCTGTACCAGGTTGTATGGACAGGTAAGCTCAAACTGACCATAGTAAGTATTGATAAAATTCATAGCTGGGGCTACTTAGATTGTCAGCTTCAAGCACAAGCAACTGTTTCAATATACAGATATGCATAAGATAGTTTCTTTTGTACAAATGTTTAAATTGTCATGCAGAATTGTACCTCTTCCAACAACACTATTTTTGTTGTACAATATAATACAATGTATTTTCATATACATGATCTTTTATTATGTAAATCTGTTCTAGCTCCTACAATATTGTATTTGATGTACAAAGTAGTTTTACCATGTTATCTTACACATACCTAACTTTGATAGAATTTACAGCCAGTTCAATATAAAATTGTACGAAATGTAGACAGTATTGTACAAAAACAAATTTTGGAATTGTATAAAATGAAACATTGGAACTATAAAACTGATAACAACAATTTGTAACTGATCAGATCTGATGAACGTCTACATTATATATACATACATGGATATGGGACGAACACAACTCATACATTTAGCACTACATACCTACACATGTACCTGCATCAGGACATAACCAGTACCACTGACAGTGACACAGGGACTAATATCTACTGTTTATTACAGGAAAAACATAATAGAAATCACAGACACAGTTCTTATGTAAATATTTACATCCGTAATATATACAGGGGACACTTAGCAGCAGTATATATACAAACACCAAATCCGATGTAGATAATATATCTAGATTATACATCTCTACATATGGTTACCTATATAGAATGTAATCTGCAAAAACTAAATCTGTTTAAATGAATTCATGGAAACATCATGATTCATTCATCAAATTACATTTATCCAATATTATAGTTTTAATATGTTGGAAATAAAAATACAATGTATCATAAAATAATAAATTATATTCCAACTAATGCCTACAATAAATCTACTAAATCCTGTTCTAGTATATTGATTTATTTCTTAGAGCCAGAGTAATACTGCAAATTCTATGTCACACTTGCACAAATATTGCACCAAAAAGTGATTGAGTTATCTCCCTTAGACCACACAATATGTTTGTGTCCAAAAGAATTTCTTGCAACAATTATACGAAATGGATTGCATAGCAAATATGACACCAGCTGCGATGATTGATATAGAGCACCAGTATGGGTTTGCCTTTCAATCCAAAATGAACAATCTGACATCATTTCTAACATTTCCTCTCAAGTTCTACAACAGTTTACAGTACAAGAAAAAGAAATACCTTTTCTATACACAACATATGGCCTGGACATTTTTTTCCTGGATTTGTAAAGTTCCAGAAAAAAAATCTCAACAAATATGCAAATAAGCTGAAACAGACTTAGAGCAATGCTAGAATCATAAAAAAGCCATGCTTATATGAACCATACATTATATACATCAGACATTACAAAAGTATCAACGTTAAACGGGGCGTTTAGCATTATCTGATTATACATAAATGTAAAATATGTCTTTGAAAACATGACTTTTCTTGATAATCTCAAAGTCAGATAATAAGGTCCTGCATCAGTCTGTAGGACCATCAAAGCATCCACTAACAAGCCTTGTCATATCGATCATCATACCCATGGCACAAAAACTGCATATGAAGGAAAAGCTAAAGCTACGTACTAGCATTTAATGGAGGGCACTATCTAGAACGTCCGTAGCAGTTATCTATTTTTACTGCTAGATGAGGCTTCCTCCAAGTTTATCTAACCCAATATATGGATGCATATGCTTCAGGATAATATCCAGATTACCAAACTCTTTTGCGATGTGAAATATCCATGTTTTTATTGTCACAATGATACATTTGTATCAATCTGGAATCCAGGGAAATGATAGCATAAAATTTCTTTTCTGTTGCTTCAATCACCCACAGATTGGCAGCGGAATATCAAATAACACAGGGAAAAAAAACGTGATTCTGTATAGGTCCTAACTACTCTTTATCGATTAGTTGTCCTTCGTATTTCAGAATATGTATTGCACAAGAACCAGATATTCTGTTACATGAAGCACTTGGATAATTCCATATATGACTTAACCGGAGACCACCATTACCAATCCGATTCCCAGGTTCATCCTCATAAATCCTGGTAGTCCCAAGGCCACAGACCAAATTATCAATCGTGTGTGATGCTGGTCCCATAGGTCTCTCGCACACAAATCCTAGTAATCAGAAAACATCAGCTTTTCCCTTCTCTCAACCATTTTTCTGTTTAACAATAAAATAACTTAAATTACATTCATTCCATAGATGATAAAACAAACCAATAAATATATTTAAAAGATTATTTCAAATCATAGTTTTGCATCATTTTTATTAAGGGAATAGAAAGAAAACCTGTAACATTATTGTGCACACCACAAAAGAACTCCCCGGAGAAACCAAATAGATAATTTTTAATGGAATATTCTTATCAACATAAACATTCTTGTGTATTATTTTTCACTCAAAAAATACTACCATGTTGTATATTTTTGGCATCATATTTTCTTGAAATCTTTTAATTTTTTTTTCTAATTGTGTTACCAATAGAGACATTGAGTTTGTACCAGCCAGAGAGCCGAGCTCTATTTTCTAAATATGCTGATGCAGCACATGTCCACAATGCTCTGCTAGACATTTTTTTTCTCTAAAGAAAACTTGGTAGTTGCCGACTGAATTGCCTCAAACACTGACTCTTACCTGTACAGAAGAAATCATGTATTGTTGTGCTAGTCACAAGGGCGTCTCCTTCTTTAGGGGTAGGCCGTTAGGTCGTGGGGGTCCCTTGTAATTATTACTGGGGATGCTATGCTCATTATTTAGCAGCGAGTTATTTGTCCCATTCATAATTTTTTCATTTCTTTCAAGAACTTTCTTGAATTGTCCATTCACGCCTTTAATTTTTGGATTTGTCACAATTCCATTTCGTTTTGGTTTTGTGTCTGGTGATCGCATTTCCAAAGCACTTTGTCCCATTATAGGCTGATCACAAGACATTGCATTTTGTTTTAAGCGTAGTTTTTCTAAATTGTTCTGAAAATGTGCATGATTGACAAGCCAAACAGGTTCTTCAGATAAATCTGCATTAGGATTTGTAATAATGTTTATAGTGGCCTTAATCTCCTTGTGTTTACAGTTCGGAAATTTGTCTGGTGACGGCCCCAGAATATTCAAGTTTCTTTCTGTCACCGGCGAAAGTTTTTGTTCATTTCCTACGATTTTCTGAACCTCTGTGTTTGGTGACATTGGCGGTGACTGTACGGGACTCTGCGGTTCGCTCACGGGTGACAACACACGACTAATAGGCCGTGTGCGATGTCGTGCCATTGAACACTGCTGCAACTGTTGAGTAAAGGTCAGGCAGTCTCCATTAGTTGTCGTCGTAGCACCACTTTGTGAGCTCTGATTTGTGGACGATGTTAAATTACTGGAGGATTTTGAGGAATTGTTGGATGCATATGACTTTCTGCGGTCGAATGTTGAGTCGGGAGAGTCTGATGGAGAACTGTTTAACTGATTACCATTGACAACAACTCCTACACCGTTCAATGGCCCAGTCACACATGTTGGTCGAGCATCATTACTTGATGCTGACGAACTGCTTCGACTTTTACTACTACTCGGAAGCACAGCTCCGAACTCCTCCAGAATTTTACATACTTTGGAATGTCCACTTTTGAGCGACACCCTGACAGGTGTCCGTCCAAACTGATCAGCATGGTTTGGGTTAGCCTTGTACGTGAGAAGGACTTTGACTACAGTTTCGTGTCCTTCTTGAGCAGCGATACAGAGGGCAGTGGCTCCTTGGTTGCATGTGTGATCCACTGAAGCACCCCTCTCTAACAGTAGCTGTACAATGTTATCATGACCTTGCCAAGCAGCTGACTGTAAAGCTGTTCTCTGATCATTGTCCACAGCATTCACATTCGCGTTGTATCGTAGCAAAAGTTCTACCACCTCAAAATGACCTTGCCATGCAGCCACATGTAATGCAGTGCGTCCTTCAAGATCTGTACATTCCACTTCTACACCCATTTCTAGGATAAAAGCTACCATGTCTACTTTGTTTTCAAGAGCCAGAATGTAGAGAGTTGATCTACCATCTGCATCCTTGTAGCTTATGTTGGTTCCCATGGAGATGAGATATCGAGCCACTTCTTTGTGGCCTTCAAATGATGCCACTCGAAATGCAGTTTTTCCGTCGTGTGACCTATGATCAATGGATGATCCATGTTGGATGAGACAGGTGACCACTCCCAGATGACCTTCTTGAGCGGCTAAAATCAGAGGATGGCGGCCATCATTGTCCGTCTCGTTGACTCGAGCGCAGTGGTTAATGAGAGTCTCACAAACCTGTGAACATACAATCAAAACAAAACATGAACATACATCACCAATAAAGGTAGGAATTCTAATAAATCAATTACTTCACAGAATCAATACATTGCAGTATTGAACAGTATATCTACTAAATATATGATTTTCATTTATTACTTTTAAAAATATTTGTAAATAAAGTCAAGATTTTAAATTCCTTTCTTCATTCACAAATAAAGTCAGTAAAATTTTGAAGCCTTAGGAAAACATGGTTTTGTTAATTCCTATAAACTGTGTGTATATCCAGGGTTCATTAATCTTAAATACAAACAAATACTGAATGAAGGAGTACCTAATACACATACGTTTACTGTGTACCTATCAGTACTAATCAATGACATTAATACTGCCTGAAGCGGAAAGTACTGCAGAAGTGAAGTGTGAAATATCGTCTGATTGACGTTGTTATTAAAGGTGTGACAAAAAAAGGTGTGATAATATTGATCAACATTCCTGAGAAGTTTACATAGTTATATCACAATATTGGACTCTGTTTGACTTTACTTAAATCAAATAGAGCTACATAAACCTTTTCAATAACAATTCTTTATCAACAAGATGTAACTCAACAAACAGAATTTCACACCAAAAAGTCATGCTAGTATAGGTAGATATGTAACAGAGGTCATTATTTATTTCAATACCTCTGCTAGGAATCGAACCCGTAACACCTGGCTTACTAGTCTGATGCTCAACCAATCAAGCTAAAGAGAAGTTCTTGCTAGCCGAGTGGTGTATATTGCGGCTAACATTTTACCAGGGTTACAGATATTACATGTTTAAATATATACATAAGGTCAAAAATTGATTCCTAGATTAAATACTTTCATTACAACAATACTATCTACAAAACTGGTGATCAGTACCATCTGAAGAGTTATCTATCTTGACGGACATCGTCTATCTCAAAAAATTATAAGGGTGGAAATTTCCAAGAAGAAATGTGACCAATTCTGTAATGGACATCTATGTAATGATTCCTGAGAAGGTATTTCAGAAACTGTTTTTTTTTTTAAGAATACAAGGAATCGGCATAGAATTGTTTAATTCTTGACCTTTTGTCAGGACATGATACTTTAGGAGATTTTAGAGGACAAGTCCACTATTATAAAGAGTCTGTTATGTGTCAGACAAGTATTTAACCTGAAGCCTTACGACTTGTGACTAATCCACCACTTATGAAGCTATCTCCTTTAATCCTCCACTGACCAGTGTACTTGAGATCTCTTGAGCACAGTATGTTTGTAAATACTTCAGCCTCAGAACACTTATATCCTTTTTACAGTAAACAGAAAAGGATATGTACAGAACTGTAAAGTTGCAATTTTCCATATTTATGATTCCAGTTATTAGTAATTACAAAGCTATCATTTTGCCTTACAATTTTGATTGGGGAGGCTAAAACAAACAATTATTTTATGTTGGCCTCATATTACTGCTTACAGTCCTGTCAACAAAAATCATGACCAGACTGAACACCTAGATTTGTGGTCACTCCTGATAAGTATTCTTTACTGCCAATTGCAATTTCCTCTGGACAGAGCAATACATATGAGATCACCCTTGACAACTTTATCACTGACCCCACAAAGTATTTCTCTGTACACCCTGAGGTCAAATCTGACCTCGAATCTGAATCAGGTTGGGATAGAGTGATGACCTATAACCTGTTACCTTCTCACCTGTCCAGTGGGCAGTGTAACGCCACAGGAAGTTATCAGAGACAGCAAGACTGGACATGAGATTCGGTCTATATCAAACTTATTTAACTGACCATCAAAATAATTTATAGTTACTTTTATGTGTATGAATATAAACTTGTCTTTAATGAACTTAAATTGCCACTGAGAAGAATCTGACAATCTGAATTTCTATATTACATAAATCAAATACAATGAATTCATTGTGGTGGAGAAGACAGGCAGATGTGAGGGAAAGACAGGTTAGCATGAGGGGAAAAAAGTTAAGTGGGAGGGAAATAGAGGCCAGTGGGAGGGGAAGGAAAGTTTAGTGGGAGGGAAATAAAGGCCAGTGTAAGGAGTAAAAAAGTTTAGTCAGAGAGAAAGAAAGGACAGTGGGAGGTCATCAATGCTCCTTCAGTGAACGAAACACCAAGACAAAAGTCATATGAAACACTCAGTCTTATAAGATGGCGGATTAGAAGCAGTGCATTACTACTTAGGTGTTAACATAACAAGTGTGAAAATAAGTGTAAGATTAAACTGTAAACCACAATGCTGACATTAGATCCGACAAACCATTGTTTGGTTGAGTTGCTTAAACCAAATATTATACACCACGTACACAAGTCTTCATGATGTTATACACTTTGTTTTGGTACACTGCTTTACAAATTCAATACACTGGCTAAATACCAACAACCTTTCCTATATAAATAGAAAAAACTTCCTGCGATTAAATATAGTTAAACCTCATTATTTCAAAGTCGAAGTTGAAGTCAGCGGGATCGTGGGAAAATTCAAGTTGTCCAAGTATTTTATTTAAGTGAGTTAGATCATTTAGTGAGAAATTTGGCTAAAGCCTATAAATTTAACAAGGGCTTTGAGTTATGTGAGTCTGAGATAGCGAGGTTCGACTGTATATGTTTCAGTATTTCTAATGTCTAAGAATATAGTATTGCTTTTATTGGCTAATGGACCACCAGGTTGTAGTGTCTTATATTCACCAACGGTACAATCAAGTTCCCCTGGAGATGCCAGCAGTATAACCCATACTTGTGGTAAACAGACAATTACACTAATGAGTAATGGACTTACTGCTAGTATATGGACCACCGTGACCTTTGACCATTAAGCTGTAATTGACCACTTTCCCTATTACTGCAGGTGTGTATTACTATCTCACCTTTACAGCTAACATTTTATTGCCAACACTAAAAATCAAATCACCAGGCAATAAAAACCAATCAATGTGAGTCCACTAATAGCCCCGAGAGGTATTCTCTGTCCAGGTAACTACCATGTCAAACTACTGTACTGTAATGGTTAAAGTGGTCAACCTCAATCCCAGTATTCATCCTAACCTCAACTACAGTATTCATCCTAACTTCAAACCCAGAACCTATCTTAACCTCAAACCTGAGTATTCATGGACTCTAAATTCACCCCCAGAACTCATCACAACTTTAAAACAAGAACCCATCCAATCTTTACCCTAGTACTAATCCTAACCTCATATGCAGAATTCATCGTAACTCAAACACTTTATTCTTTTGATGTAAAACTTTAATCAGGTTAATAAGACAATCTCTTAAAAAACTCATTGTTCCTGCTTCAAGCACCCAGCTGTATTGATTTTACATCAAATTTTCCAAGAATGTTATTTAAAGATCCACTGTTGTTTCTTTATGATCTTATCTTTGCTTTCTAGATTGCTGGTACCCTGACCAGATACTGATGTACTGGCCTAAGGTACAAATTGTTGTCAGTGCCAATTACCCTGGGCATCAGGGTCAGGCCTGCCAAAGATTTAGAAAACAACATTTCAGCATCCAAATAGATAAATAAATAAAGGTATTTCTGCCAAAAGACTATTCCAGTTCTATAGGATTAGACCACTAACTAACAGATCAGTATAAAACCCAACCCGACTTTCCGTTCTCCCAGAAAACAGCAGTAAACTTTATATGACAAAATATTTACATCCATGGTAAATACTTAAAATTAAAAGCAGGTTATCTTTTTAAATAGATATAGAATGTTTCAGTATGTAAAATTGTTTGGAATGTAACATAGCTTAAGTGTATTTGGTCATTGCTGTTTTCAGTTTTAATGCTAATAAACAGTGAAAAACGGCTAGGTTACTTGGCCACAATAACAGCAACATTATTTAAATCAGTTTGGAAAATTTGTTAAATACTGGGGAATCTTGTTGTAAATAAAACATTTTTTTAAAATCTGAAATCTTGAACACTGTAATATTGAAATAAAATACATAAAAGTTTCATCATGAAACAGTAAGGAGATGAATTTACTGACAGAACAAGATAAAGATCTCCAACAGAAGTAGAGGGTTTAGTGATTGTATCCTCATCACCACGTGTTTCTATGTTGTGGTGAGAAAACAGGTCAATTATGCTCAGAAATATGTCATCCTGTGCCAAAACCCTGAGGCTCAGAGCTGCTGTACAATAACTCAAGTGAAGGGGAATGCAGACACATGCAGACACTGACTTAATAATGAAACAAGAGCTGATTCTTCAGAAAGTTATATAAGATAGTATTACGCGGTATATAAAAAAATTTTTGAAATCAGCAAAAACATTTTCAAAAATGGAATTTTAATTTCACAATTACTTCATTAAAACTTCTGTACTGTTGATTTTTTGACAATCAATGATGTCATAATGAGTCCCAATCTTCTCTGTCGATGTTCTAACATTTTATCAATCTCTTGTTTAAATTTTCAATGTTTTAAACAGACTAGATTGCTTCAACAAAAAATAATCATTATGTCTTAATACATTTCCTATATAGTCACATATTTGTGAACAAAGATCTGGAACCCATCATGTTACATATGTCACTGTCAATATAACAGGAGAATGTGAAAATGTGAACATGAAGAGAGCGGGATTCAGTGGTAATTCTATTGCTGTGCATACAGAAGAATGTATTTGTGGACCGATTCTGTCAGAAAGTGCTAGCTATGACTCAATAACAACTATATAATGTAGGAACAGCTAGACCCTAATAAAAAGATTTCTCTGAAGTAACTTAATTATCTGCAAACAGTATCCAACCTAGGAGGCTTTTTCTGTCAGCTCTACGTATAAAACTTGGCATAACATCTTCTAAGAACAATCCAGCTTCCAAATAAACATCAGGCCATTTCACTTCAGAGAGGTGAGAATGTATTTTCAGAATTACAGACGTACATAACAATCAATTTCATCTTAAAAGATTCAGTCCAATTTCTGAACAAAATAAAATTTGCTGAAGTAAGGTTTTGATAGT